TGGTGGATGCGATATGGGTCCCAGGGCCAAATCCTCAACATGATGCTGCTAGAGGTAGACGACTTCATGATCGGCAGATGCGACTCGAACTCGAGAGCCTGGATCCGACAGTTGCTCGAAGCTAGGTTCAAGTTCGGCAAGTACAGGGACTGCCATGAGAGCCCCGTGGACTTTGCCGGACGACGGATCACGCTCGGGGAACAGAAGATCACAGTCGATCAAGAAAAATGCATCCTTGAAGAGGTTAGGCCTTTGAGCCTAGCCAAAGGAAGAATGTCTCGCAGTGACTCTCCCCTCGAGCCCGACGAATTTCGAGCACTCAGATCCCTGGTATATAAATTTAACTGGGTCGGCAGGGAGTCCAGGCCCGAGGCCGCGGGCATAGCCTCGATCTTGGCCAGTCGTCTGAAGAGTGCGACGATCTACGACGTGTCCTGTGCCAACAAGTTAGTTAAGCATCTCCGAACGACGGCCTCCAGGGGGCTGACAATTTGGAGCCTGGACCCCGACCGCATGGCGTTCGCGTCGTTTTCTGATGCCGGGGGAGTAGGAGCAGACATCAAGATGAATGACGATCGGGGGCTCCCGGCCGACCCAACCCAGGGAGCATGGATGGTGCTGGCGACTGACAAGTCTGTGCTGCTGAATAACTCGGTCAAGGCCTCGTTCCTAGGCTGGAGAAGCAGTAAGCTGAGGCGCAAGGTCCCGTCCACCCTGGCCGGGGAAACCCAGGCATTGTCCGCCGCAGTGGCGGAGGTGGAGTACCTTCAAGTGCTCTACCGGGACGTGATGTTCCAGGACGTGGGCGTCCCCGAGTGCAGACGAGCTTCTGGCCCCTTCACTACCGTGCTTCGTAGAGACTGTAAGTTGGGTTCCCGAGAGAACCAGGTACATGTTGTGGATGCAAAGTCTATTTACGACACTATGTTGAAGGAGGGGAACGCCAGCGCCAAGGACAGGCGCACCGCACTGGACCTCGCAATAATTTGCGAGGCACTAGAACGAGCGCGCGGAAGCGTACGATGGGTTCCCCACGGCAGGATGCCAGTCGACCCACTGACGAAGGACGACATCACCAAGAGTAATGCCGCTCTGTTTGACCTTATGGTCCGAGGCCGTCTCATCCTAGTGGACGAGAGCTCTGAACTCGATCGTCGCCGAGCTGCGCCAGAGCTCAAGGACCGCTCCCAGCTAGCGTCTCGAAGGCAGTTGGCCCAGAGTCAGAGCATGTTGTCGTGGCAGGAGTTCCGGGACCAGGAGCTCTCCCAGGGTGGTGGTGGTGGTGGTGGTGGTCCTACCTTTCTCCTCCTCTCTCCCTCTCGGCCGGACGGTCCTCCCGGCCTTCCTCTTCCATCATTTCAATAGTTTCCCGTCGTTGCTCCCATCCTTGCCTTGTTTTCCTGACTACGGCCGTCCTGGGGGACGGAGGCTTCCATAGGGAGCCATGACCGTGTACTGCGCTTTCCGCGAATGGGTGGTCACAGCTTCTCCTGACATGGGGAGAGCTGAACCTAGAAGAAAGTTTGACCAGTGTTGCAGTGAGGCAGATTTTCACCGATAGGTTCAGCGTCAGGAGCTTCTGTCCGTGACCAATGTGGCTCAAGGGTAAAACACCTAGTCTGTCTCCGTCTGCCACAAGGGGAAGGCTAAATGGGAGGAGGAGGGGAAGGAGGACGAGGAGGAGGAGGAGGAAGAGGACACGGAAGAGGAGGAGCAGGTGTTGCAGACGGAGCTCCGCTTGCCGCCCATACACAGACTTGCTGCCGACGATCCTTAGCGCTGCCTCCTCGCACAGGGGGCTGGGCCCGGGGGAGAGGCTCCTTGAGCGAAGCAAACGGCCCCTTCTGGATCCACTGGTCCAGTTTTTCCCAACGATCCTTTGGTGTTGTTTGGTCCTCGGTTTGAAGAGACGGCGCCCCGCGTCTCCTTCCTCTCCTCTCCTCTACTCTACTCTACTCTACTCTACTCTACTCTACTCTACTCTACTCTACTCTACTCTACTCCTCCTCCCCCTCTACTCCTCCTCCCCCTCCTTGCTCCTGCCCCTCCTTGCCTCTGCCCTCCGCATGTTTCCGTTCTGGCATACCCAATACAGCGTTTCGTGGCCCCATAGAAAGCTCCACCGAAGGCCCCAGTGGCAGGGTTCGCATGCAGTTCCACCGTCATTTCGGCGCACCTCCCACACGGTTCTAGGCCCCATAGGGGAGCTTCATCGAAGGCCCCGGCAGCAGGGTTCGCATGCAGTTCCGCCCTCATTGCGGCGCACCCCTCACACGGTTCGTGGCCCCATGGGGGGCTCCAGAGAGGCCCCAATGACAGGGTTCGCGTGCAGTTCCGCCCTCATCTGGGCGCACCCCTCACACGTTTCGTGCCCCATAGGAAGCTCCACCGAAGGCCTCATTGGCAGGGTTCGCATGCAGTTCCACTCTCATTTCGGCGCACCCCTCACACGGCTCGTGGGCGCATAGAAAGCTCCACCGAAGGCCCTAGTGGCAAAATTCGCATGCAGTTGCACCTTTCTTTCGGCGCACCCCTCACACGGTTCGTGGCCACTTAGGGGGCTCCACCGAAGGCCCCAGCGGCAGGGTTCGCATGCAGTTCCGCCCCCATGTCGGTGCCTTTCTCGCACGTTTCGTGGCCCCATAGGGAGCTCCACCGAAAGCCCCAGTGGCAAAGTTCGCATGCGGTTCCCCGCCCCTTGTCGGCACACCCTTTACGCGCTTCGTGGCCCCATAGGAAGCTCCACCGCAGGCCCCAGTGGCAAGGTTCGCATGGCGGCCCCGCCCCATTTCGGTACATCCCTCACACGTTTCGTGGCCCCATAGGAAGCTCCACCGAAGGCCTCAGTGGCAGGGTTCGCATGCGGTTCCCTGCCCCATTTCGGCACCCCTCACACGGTTCGTGGCCCCATAAGAAGCTCCACCGAAGGCCCCAGTGGCAGGGTTCGCATGGCGTCTTGCTCCCGCATGCAGGTGTTCGGTAGATGTTGTTTCTGCATCCCCGTTTCCGGCATCGCTTCGCGATACATGGGAGCCACTTTCTGTGGGTGGATCGCGTTTTTTTTAATGCTTGATTTAGAACCCATGTTGTTTCGCGCAGGGTTCCTTCGAAAGAAGTCGCGAGGAGGGAAGCGAGAGGTGGAGCAGGGAGGACGAGACATCGTGTGCAGGTTTGAGGATCTGCCTCAGTCTCTCGCAGTAGTGTGCAGCACTGTGCTGGCGCCACTGGCTCGTTGTACGCCCCTTGCGCCAGCTGGGCAGGCGGGGACGGATGGCACAATGAATTGGGCAAGATCAGTTTGGTCTTGAACCCCTCGTGGTGCGGGAGCTGCGCTGAAAGCTCAGAGGGTGGATCCTGCCTCGTGTGCCTTTTCCACGCCACGGCCTCGTCAAAAAGGGGCACCATGCGAATGCAGGCCGTGACGTACGAACGCGCTTTCACGTGTCCGCAGAGTGAGTCACGCATCGAGCATCGGCCCTGGAGCATTCTGTGTCCCCGACTGGCAGCACACCCACAGCTCAGCTCGTTCGCAGGCTCTGTGCCGCCTTTGCCGTAAAAAGACTGCCGTGGAACGGCCTCTGGCGCAGTTTCTGTTCATGGCGCGTGCCCGATACATGATGGGGCCCACGCCTGGTCCCAGGACCAGTTTGTCATTTTGTTTGTTTTGTCTTCGATGGTTCCAGGGCAAGGAAAACGGTCCCCCTGAGGCCGAACCGTGAAGCCGCCCGTGATTTTATCTTCCGCGATGCTGAAGGCCTGGGGAGAAGGAGGAGGGGAGGAGAAATGGGATGATGAGGAGAGGGAGGAGGAGCAGAAGCAGGAATGAGAAAGGAACATGGGGAGATAGGAGTGGTATGGGAGGAGGAGGAAGAGGAGGACGCGAAGGTGGTGGTGGAGCGGGAGGAGGAGGAGGAGCAGCAGCAGAAGGAGCAGGATCAGGAGGGTGAAGGGGAGCAGGGATAGGGGAAGAAACTGATTGGAACTGGGTGGATGAGGAGGATGAGGAGGAGAAGTTGAAGAAACAGGTGAGAGGGGAGGATGAGGAGGAGGGGAAAGGGTTGGGAGGGGGGGGATGAGGATGAAGGAGAAGGAGCGCGATGAGGAGGAGCGCCCACAGACTGTTCAAAAACCACCCCCGACATTTAGACGTTGTAAATACTACTCTACTCTCCTCTCTCCCCAGACTATGTCTTGCCCTTTCTGCGTATCGTTTTGAACCACTGGAATTTCAGCAGTTAGTTGTCTTCCGTGTTGCTTGGCAATCTGGTTGTACTCGGTGCCTCAAGGTAGTGTTCCCGCTGCAGCGCGGACCTCATTTTCGGACCGGCGCTTTGCCCCCGTCGTTCAGACGGGGGCTCTCGCCCCAGCGCGGGCCACTGTTCTTGGTCCGAATCCTGTGTCATCGTCGTCGCCACCATCATTCCCCCTCTGCCTTCACCCGGTGCGCCTGCTCCTCCCGCTCCTTCAATCCGAGGCCCGAAAACCATCACTTCACTAATTTTGGGCCCCAGGGCCCACTGAGGCCCCAGGGGCCCCAGATTAGTGAAGTGATATTTTTTCCCACGTAAGGACCCCGAAATTCATCACTTCACTAAACCGAGCCCAGGACGAAAGTCAGGGGCCGAATTGCTGCTGTGATGCAACATCGGTCTCGTATTCAACGCCAATCCCTGCTGCTGCTGTGCGTCATTGTCCTCATCTCTCCTTTCTCCTCCTTTTTCTACTGCTTATCTCCCTGCTCACCCGTCACTGTCCTCTGCCATGCACGCAGCTCCCTTGGCCCGATTGCGCATGACACGATGGGGTCTGTTCTAGAGCTCCGGAGAGGCACAATTCAGCGCAATGGAGAGGGATGAGAGGGAGGGATGGGATGTCGGACGTGGCGCGAGCGCACCTAGCTTCTGTCCCTCCCCCTATCGCCCTCCCCCCCTCCTTGCCGAGAGAGCGGGGGGACGCCCCCTTGTGAGATCTGAGAGCGCCCGCCGGAACCGGCCAGCGAGGCCCCCCCGCCAGTGCAATGGCCGTGGCTCGCGACCAGGACGCGCAGGCTCGCGCCCCCGCTGGAGGAGGAGGAGCGAGCGAGCGAGCGAGCGAGCGAGCATCCGGCCCCACAGATCGCAGGGCCGCGCCCAGTTGGGCCGGACGAGTCGGGCCGTAGCCCCCGTGGAGACAGATATGAGGCCATGCGCGGAGGCTCACATCGCACCTGAGTGCTGGATCTTCAAGTTCTGTCATTCCGCGCTTCGCCTCGCAATGTTGAGCCAACTTGCACCGTTGACGCCACCCCTCCGTCGCTGTTGATGATGTTCTAGCATCGTGTAGTCACGGAGATGCTTTTCCAGAAACGCCTGGACATCGTCGTCCCACCTCTTACGTCTTACGTTGGCCATCGTGATTACGATAAATTGGTTTGATTCACTTGTGGCTGGGGTGCCACTGTACCGCTCTTTGTGTCCATTTTGTCGCCGAGTGTGTTGACACCTACGCAGCGAGCCTCCGCAGGAACCAGCGCTGCTCTGTTACCCAGCCCGTGACCTGCAGCCGCATGAGTTGTTATGTTCGATGTGTCGAGCGTCGAATGTAATTGACCCAAGGCTCATATCTGTCCACGTCGCTCTCGCTATCAGCGTCGTTTGCTGGGGAAGCTCGGGTTGGCGGTGGATTGCTGTTGATGTACGAGCCGTCGGCGGTGGTCGATGGGTCGGCTGCGGGTGCGCTGAATCTTAAGTGCCCTACCGTTGGGATTTCGGGAGAAGAGGCGCCGGTGTCGTAGCGACGCGCTCGTCGTGTAAGCTGGCGCGGTGTGTTCTCCTCCTTGCGGAGTCTGTTGTTTGAGAGGCTCTTTCAGCGTCCACGTAGCTGAGCCGTACAGCGCCGTTGGAGTGATGGTGCCTTGGAAGAGCCGGAGTCGGTGTTAGGACAATGTTTCTTTGCCAGTTCTTGCCGATTGGTTGTGAAAGTCGCTCACGCTGCTTTGATACGGTGGTTTACCTCGGTCGGCGCCGGTTCGTCAAAACCAACCATTTGGCCGAGGTACTTGACCGCCCCACCGTAAGGTGTAATCTAAATTCCAATGTCGCCGACGTCTACGTTTGGACCTTTGCACCTCCCAGTCACCTCGCGCCTTGCGCTAATGTCTGTGGTGCCGCCGTTCCCTGTTCCACTGGACGGGGGAAGGAGAGGAGGCGGTGAGGAGGCGGGGGAGAACAGGGTGAGGAAGGGGGGGGGGTAGGCCAGGTGTGGTCGAGGAGGAGGAGGAGGAGGAGGAGGAGGAGGAGGAGCCACGGGGCATGCGGCACCCGCCGAGCAGGCAAGCCGCGGGGCGCGAGAGTCCGTGCGGGGCGCGGGACCGCGACGGCGCACGTCCACTGGATGGGGAGGGAGAGGAGGCGGTGAGGAGGCAGGGGAGACGAGGTGAAGGAAAGGGGGGGGGGGTAGGCCAGGTGTGGTCGAGGAAGAGGAGGAGGAGGAGGAGGAGGAGGAGGAGGAGGAGGCTTGCGGTCCTCATGGCTAGGGCAGCGGCAGAGGACGAGGAGGGGAGGGGGGGGAAGGAACAACGGGTCGAGGAGGCCTCGGAGGCGGCCCCAGGAGGCTCCAAGAGGGCATCAAGGACCCAATACGGCAGAATAATATGGCCCCATGATGCCTGTAAGATGGTCAAGGGGTGCCGCAAGACGCCCAACGAGAGGGCAGCAGGCATTGAACATTCAGAGCGTTTTCAGTGTTTTGTGTGTGTGTGTGTTTCCTTTGTTATGCCCCCTGAGATGTCCAGGCACCGCTTCAAGACAGCCAGAGGGGGAGAAGTGCGAGGGGAAGGGGGGAAGATTGGCGTGCTCGCGCCATATCGCCATAGCTGATTTGGAGGTGAGTCCCTCCCAGTCCTCCCGTACCTTCCCATGAGAGTTGAGCTCGTGCTATTCGCAGGGTCGATGCTCGAAGAACACGCGGATCCCGAAGCTGCACCCTTCCCTGAAACGTGGCAAGTTCCAAAGCGGGAAAACCGTTCTGGCTCATGCAATTACGGCCAGCGCAGGAGCGCGAGCGTCGTTCCATAGGATGGAAGTCCCGTGGCAACGTTTACCTGTGGCCAGCGCCGCAACGGGAGATGCATGCTGTTGGTGCAAGAGGACAGCGTTGCGGGGCAGCGTCTTTCCATGGGAAGGGGATCCCATGGACATAGAACGTTGCAAACGTTTCGGCGGAATCACCACTTGCTGATGCAATAGTACGGCCAGCGATGCGGCGAGAGCGACGTACTGCTAGATAGTGGGTCTCTCTACAAGGTGCCACCGTTGCAGCCAGGGCGCAGCTTTTGAGGGGCCAAAAGAGCGGCGATCTTTGAACCAATATTGTCGATACCACCGTGTGGCAGTCCTGCTCGCGAGATACAATATCATGGTCAGGCGGCGGCTAGTAGAGACAAGACTTGGTGGGGAGCGGGCAGAGAAGTTTTCATATTGAGTCATTGTGGAAGAGGGAGAGGGGAGTTCTGTTCCCCACCCTGCAGGTTGGGGCTTTCAGATTTCAAGGACAGGCCTCCCGAACCGCCCACTTTGCACACCGCGGCCGCCAGGCCCCCAGGTCCACCGAGTGTCCCCCGAGATTCCCGCCTCGCGCCTTCGACGAACACGGCAGACTTTGGCAGAATTGAGCATACGGTAGCATGACAGAACAAAGAATAGCAGAACATGACAGGACAGACCAGACGATAACACAGACAGGACAAACCACACCACAACGCAGCATCGCACAACGCAGCATACTTGCACAGTAATCGTATGACGACATGCAAGAGCGCACACAGCACGCGTCATGCCATCACACGTCATGCACACTTCATAACACCATACCTCATAACAAACCATGCTATGGCAGAGTGTGTGGCACTATATACCCAGTACACATCAGATAGCACGGCATCACGCACGATACCCATACACAATTGATAACACAGCATAACACAGCAGCATATTACACAGCACCAGATAGCCCAGTATACATCACATGACACATGACATGATAAGCACCGCCTATCATAACCTATCGTGGCATAGCGTAGCATATCATGCCACACCATCACAGCACAGAGCAGGCCATACCAAGACAATGCATACCATGACAGAGTGCGACACCTCCTATTATGAACTAGCAGATAACAGCATTACCTAGCACCATGAACCATGCCATAACTGATCACACATAGTGTGCCATAACGGAGCATACCATACCATAGCGTAGCTTAACATACCGTGGTATAACACATGATATCTCAGAATTGCCATAACATACCATAACACTGCACACCTTAACAGCACGCAGCATTCCATACCATTGCAAGTCATACCATGCATTGCGCGGCGTAACTCATTCTACAACCGCATACCATAACACATCATACATTTACCGCATACCACATCGTGACATAACCCCTGACATGAAATAACATGCCATGCCACACCGCATCATAGCAACGTCTCATGACATGCATCTGCATAACACAGACCATAACAGCACACACCAGAGCATAACATATTCTAAGGCACCGGCAACCCGCGACCTGGCCTGACCGCTGAGCTGGTCAGGACAACGGGGCCCCGCGCGTTTCGTTCCAGTAGGCACGTCCACCTTCGGCAACAAACGCCGAAGGCTTTGGTGGCGATCGCTCGAAGCATCATCTGTTCTCTGGTACCGCGCGCATGCGTCCCATCACCTCATCAGAACTGCGGGGGATGGGATCTTCAAGAGGGCGCTCGCGCCGCCCCGATCCCGGACCCCTCAAACATTTGCCCGCCCGCCGCGACCTGGGGGGGAAGTCCTCCCCCGCCGCTGCAGTCGACCCGCGTCCTAAGGATGGGCATCGTTCCAAAGGGTACCCTTGCATCCTTGCCCCGTCGGGCCATCCTCAGCGACGTTCTCGGGCCAACATCTTTCGGGAAATGCCAACGTGGCCCTCCAAGGGCTTTACATCCGCACCATACGGGTTGACTATACGCGGAGATCCGCCGCCGCTGCGCGGCGGGGGCCGATCCTGCAGCTGCCTCCTCTTCCTCCTCGACCAACCTTCTCGTCTCGTCGAGCCTCCTTCTCGAGCATCCTTACCGCGCAGCCTTATCATACGGGTTCACTGCACCTGCCCCCGCGCGGCCCCCTCCCAAGGGGGGGGGAGGCGCCATGCGTCGCATCGGCGGGAGACTCGCTTCGTGATGGGTGGCGCCTCGGGGCGCGTCGCGTTTTACGCGCGGTGACGCGGCTGCTTTGCTTCGGCGAGGGCTCTGCTCCGCGCATGGCGGTGCCTCGGAGCATCGTCAGAGCACGGGGCTGTCGGGATCGAGACAGCGCGTCGCGCCACGCGCGGTGACGCACGTCGCATCTGCGAGGGTCTCGCTCCGCGATTGGTGGCAGCTTTCGCCCCCGGAAAGCCTCAGGGGCCACCGCAATCGTCCCAGGGGAAATGTCTGCCTCCGCCTCTGCGCCCGCGCGGCCCTGAGCCTCAGGGCGCCGGCAGGGCGCGGGGACATCGGGATCGAGACAGCGCGCCGCGTTACGTGCGGTGACCCGGCTGCGTCGCATCGTGGGGGGGGGGGGCGTTGGTCTGCGACTGGTGGTGGTGCCTCGGGGCACCGTCAGGGCACGGTGAAGTTCGGGACGGCGCGTCGCGCCACGTGCGGCGATGTGGCTGCGTCGCATCGAGGGGGGTGGGTCTCGCTCCGCGATTGGTGGCGTTTCCCGCTTCAGCAAGCCCCACAGGCCGCTGGCAGCACGCTTCCACGTGCGCGGGAACCTCGAGCAAGCACCAAGGGCCGCCGCAGCCGCAGCCGCCCCAGCACGCCCCAGAAGCAGTCGTGAGCGTGTTTCCCGTCCCGAACAGCCTCGAACAAGCAGCGGGGGCCGGAGCACGAGTATCGAAGACGCCTGCGGCGCAGCAGCAGGGGCCGCAGCACCGCCGCCCCCTGCCTTTTGGAAGCGCCTATGTGGCCGAACATTGTGGCCAGAGCTCGGCCACGCTATCGGGGTGTGTGCGCCCCAGCCGTTGTGGAAACCTTTTGGGGAGGAAGAGGACGAGGAGGACAGGACTCTTTGGAGACTTTGAGGCGCTCAGGGCCTCCTGGGCGCCTCCCGGGGCCTCTTGTAGGCCGCTTGGAGGCATCCTTGGGCCTCTTGGGCGCCTTTGGAGGCTTCATGGGAGGCTCTTTGGCCGTCTGAGGGCGTTCCTGACCAGTCAGTTGCCGTCGAAAGCCGCCTTGGGTGCTTCTCTGGGCCGACTTGGGGCCCTCTTTGAGGTCTCCTGGGCCGTTTTGGAACCTTCTTGGGGCCATCTTGGGTGCCTCTTGGGCCGTCAGGGGGCCATTTCGGAGGCTTCTTAGGCGCTCTTCGGGCCATCTTGGTGGCCTCTGGGGCCGTCTTGGGCAGTCGGGAAACCGAACATGGGCAACGCCAGGATCCTGCAAAACAAAGGTCAATCAGTGATTTGGGCCAATTTGGGCCTTCCTGGAGGTCCTCTTGGAGGCCTCTTGGGTCATCTTGCGGGCCTCGCCAGCCGTCTAGGATCTAGCTTGGGCCATCTTGGTGGCTTCTTGAGCGGACTTAGGAAGCATCTGGGACCCTCTTGGGCTGTCTTGGAGGCCATCTTGAATTTAGTCTGGGCGAACTTGAAGGCCTTGTTGGCTATCTTGGCCGTCTTGGAGGTCACCGTGGGGCGGCCTTCCGACTGGCCTCGGGGTGCGACATGGAGGAGTCATTCGTAAGGAAAAGGATTGGAGGAGCAGGACGAGGAAGACGAGGTGCACGAGGTGCACGCGAAGGTTGGCCCTCGGCCCTCCTTCGGTTGCCGGAGTGACATGTGCTGCGGGCCCGAAGGGCCCCTTCCAGCATCGAGCCCTCTTCGCGGCCCCCAGGAGCCGCGCACCAAACGCCATCCCTGCGCGTAGCCTGCCTCCTGCCTCCTGCCTCCTGTCTCCTCCTCCTCCTCCTCCTCCTCGTCCTCCTCCTCCTCCTCCTCCTCCTCCTCATCATCATCCTCATCCTCATCCTCCTCCTCCTCCTCCTCCTCCTCTTCCTCCTCCTCCTCCTGTCGGCGTCGCTCCTCCGCCTCCTCCCCTGCCAGGCCGAGGGCGGCGGCGTGATGCTCCACGGCAGCGGGGTGACCCTCCGGATCCGCAGCACGCACGGCGGCGCCCGGGCCCCGCAGGACGGCGGCGCAGCGCGCGCGCCGCTCGCCGCCGCGGGTCAGCGTCGGCATCAGCCGCGCTCGGCCCCTGGCGGCGCCAGAGCGGCGCCGGCGCTACGGCCGTCGCCATCGCCGTCGCCGCTGCCGCCGCCGCCGCCGCCGTCGTCGTCGTCGTCGTCGTCGTCGTCGTCGTCGTCGTCGTCGTCGTCGTCGTCGTCGGTCGTCGTCGTCGTCGTCGTCATCGTCGTTGTCGTCGTCCTCGCCGTCAACGTCGTCGTCGTCGTCGTCGTTCGTCGAGGGAGTGGAGGAGGAGGAGGAGGAAGAGGAGGAGGAGGAGGAGGCGTTCCGTTTTTGGCTCAAGGACTGGCTTAGCGGGCTGGCTAAGGCATCGTCGGGTATTGTTCGAATGTGGTCGGCATCAATTATTCGGACCTCCGCTTCTGGAGGCCGCATGGTGGATCTTATCTTCGAAGTCCCTGGAACCGTTTTGTGTCGTCTGTCAAATGCGTTTGGGTCATACCGTCGTACCCCCACGGGCTGCAGCAAGGGGTTGGGTTTGCACCGAGCCCGCTTTCCAACAACATCTCAAAGGTTGATGTTGCATTACATTTCGTTCGGCGCATCATTGCCTATGGAATCCAAAAGAAATTGTTGGCCGAGCTGGAAAAGCAACTTGTCACAACAGAAGTCGGAAAGCTAGCAGGGCACAGCGACGGCACCAAGAACTATCTAAAGGCTGCCGCCTCTGCCGCCGACCCCAAAGGAGGGTTTGTGTTGTTTGTTTGCAGGGGTCGGTGCGCTCTCCGTCACCGCGGTGGGCGTCGAGGATAGACTCTTGCCTGTGGCGGCCGCGTCGTCGTCGGCTCGATTTAATTCGCCGTGGGCGCTGTTTTGGGCCCTCTTTGCCCGTCTTGTGGCACTGTTGTTTCTGAAGCAGTCACGCAGGTCTGAGGCAGACGACCGGAGGACACGCCCACTCTGTGCCCCAGGCACGGTGGCAGATCTTGATCCATCACGAATGATCTTCATTGAGCAATCCTCCAGGCCCAACGGTGAAGGAGGAGGAGGAAGATGGGGAGGAGCCCGAGGAGAAGGAATATTATCTGGAAGTGCACTCCGATAGTCCATTTCATCACCTTTTCAAACAACTCATGACGAATAATGCGAAGCACGTGCGACTTGCCGGTCCCAGGGCCCCCGTGCATGCACCGCTGCAGCGGCTCACCCATGCTGCCGTCCTCTCTTCCTTCGCCGTCTATCTCACGCATTACTCGAGACGCCACCTTCTTGACCATCTCGAACTGCTTCGCGTTCACAACACGCCGCCCCGTGTGCTTGTCCACCCGGAACTCTAGGTCCCTGAGCCACGCGGCAACGTCCTCCGATGTTGCCGCCTGGCCAGCGACGACATCTGCGCCGTCAGCCTCCGCCAGTCGGTCTGCCATGGATTCCTCCTTGTTCCGAGATTTGCGCGCCTCCCTGAGTACCTGCTCAACGTCGCAGGGCTCCTCCGCGGGCCATGCACTCAGAATCCCGCTCAACGGCGTTTCGCCATCGCGAAGCCCCCACACCTGTTGCGCGACACTCATGCCTCCTTTCGAATTTTCGTAGTGGGAGACGCTTCCAGCTCCCTGCCCAGGGTCTGCGTCGTCCTCGTCGCTGCTGCTGTCTCCGTCGCCGTCCTTGCGCCTCTTCCCGCAGGAGGAATTCCGAAGAGGGTCGCTGTCGGCGGATGCGCACGCATTCTTGCACGGCCGGCATACGACCGTTCCTGGGAGCTGGTTGGGGGGGGGACGTATGCTGCGGGAATAGAGCGTGTCGGGAATTGTGCAGTGGCGGAAGGGACGCAGCGTCGTCCAGCGCGGGGCAACGACGGAAACGCCCCGTGGCGCCGAAAGATATCCGCGAGCAGGAGTGCAAGGTGTGCAGAGCGGAACGCGCGCGCCGCAAGCTCGTGGTGGATGGTCCCGACGACCCGCGTCTGCAGTCAGACAAGTTCCTCGTGGCGCCGGGTGTGTTCCCAAACGACGACGTGAAGTACGAGGCGAACAAGCTCCGTGCGTCCCAGTACGCACGCAAGCACAGAAAGCCAATGGTGTACGTCCCTGCGCGAGATACGCCCACGCCAGAGGCGCTGCGGGAGCGGCCGGATCTGCCGCAGCAGAAGATGGCATGGCTGCAACGACACGACAAGGAGAGCGGGGACTTGTACGGCTTTTTGCCCATCGCAGAAGGCATGCCCGTCGCTCTGACCGATCATATCGACCGAAGCGAGGACAAAAACCTGCTGCGCGGTCGCGTTGGCCGGGTGCAATCCTGGGTATGCGACGGGGACGACGTCAATGATCTAGTCACGCGCGGCGGGCAGACCATTGTGAAGAAGACGCCAAAAGTGATTTTCGTGTTGTTCGACGAAGGCGATGACGGGAACGGCGGCAGGAAGCCGTGCCAGTGGACGATCGAGGGATTAACGACACCCGGCTTGTACCCCGTGGTTCCGCTGAAGAAGGATTGGTTCGTGGACAAGGGCCGTCCGCATCCGCGACTCAAGGTTAAGAGACGGCAGTTCCCACTAGCGCCAGCCATCGGAGTGACGGCCCATGCGGCGCAGGGGCAGACGTTCAAGCAGGGTGTCATTGTGGACCTGAGCATCGGCGGGGGCACGTCACCTCTGTCGAGCCACGTGGCACTGACGCGGGTGCAGCGCCGCGAGGATATGCTGATCTTTCGCCCTTTCGACATTGCGCCGTATCAGAAGAAGGACGAGCGGAAGGGCCCGGACTTGCTGCTGCGCACGTTGCGCGGAGAAGAATTGGACTGGGAGGCGATAGAGAAGGAGTTCATGCCGTCCGGCAGGTGCGCGGTCTGCGGGTGCACGAAGTACAAGAATATGTACCCAACGATCGGGCAGTGGAGCCGCGCAGACGGGCTCCGCGTGTGCACCGTGTGCCTGGAAGATAAGAAGAGGGCGGGCACGCCGTGGCAATGCATGGATTGTGGTTTATGGAAGTGCCGGGAGGCTTTCCACGCGTCACAGCACCACCCGTCGAAGCTGACCACGCGGCGCTGCGTGGACTGCCCCGAGAGACGGAGTTGCCGCGTGTGCGAGCATCGGAAATACGAAGAGGCGTTCGCGCGGTATCAGTGGGAACTGGCGGGGAACAGCCGAGGTAGGGGAGGAATGTGCGCAGAGTGTGAAGAACTGAAGAAGCACCTCGTATGTGGTCGCTGCAAGGAGAGCAAGATCGCCACCCATTTCGCGAAGCGCGACGTCGATGACGTGGAGCGCTGGTGCGACAGGTGCAAAAGAGAGGAGAGGAAGGAGGGGGAGCGGCGGGGGGGAGAGGAGGAACGGAAGAAGTGTTCGCGGTGTGGTGAGGAGAAACCGCGCGACATGTATTCGGGCTCAATGTGGGAAGAGAGGCCCAGGCCGCGAAAATGCACGGAGTGCGTCGAGCGGGCTGCCGCCGAAAGGAACGAGAAATTGAAGGTGAAGTCGCGTGTGGCGTGCGGCGGGGAACAACCGGAGGCCGCATTCTCCAGGCGGATGTGGAACGACGTCGCCGACAAGCAACGCAAGTGTGAAACGTGCGTCAAGAAGGCGAAGGTGAAGTCGTGCGTGGCGTGCGGCGAGGAACAGCCGGAGGGCGCATTCTCCAGGCGAATGTGGAACGACGTCGCCGACAAGCAACGCAAGTGCGAAACGTGCGTGAAGGGGGCGCGACCGCCGCGCGGGTATTGGAAGCGCGCGCAGTGTAAACATTGCGTCGAGAAGGCGGGATTCAGCGCGTGGTTGTCAAGGCGGGCGACGAAGAGATCGGGCGGAACACAGCGGTGTAACGTATGCGATGCAGCACAGGAGCGCAGTCGGAAGCGCGTGGCAGACCGGTCGCATGACGCGGTAGCGGCTGCGAAAAAGCCAGCGTGAAGCGGAAAGCCCGGCGGGCATGGATCGCGGGGCGCGCCCGGTCTGGATGTGGGTCCAGGAGAGCTGCGCGCTCATCTCCAGGAGCGTCAGGAGGCTGGGAATGTCAGACGCGGTGGCGTGCGCGGTGGGTGGTCCCAGCGAGGATTTGGCAGGGGGGGGGGCCATGGAGAACTGATCCCCAAAGGCTTCAGGAGGCTGTGAATGTCAGACGCGGTGGCGGGCGCGGTGAGGGTCCCCATGTCAGACGCGGTGGGGGCGCGGTGGGTGGTCCCGGCGAGGAATTTGCAGGGTAGGTGGCTCCTAGAAACGTATGCCCAGAGGCCTCAGGGGGGCTGGGAATGTCAGACGCGGTGGGGGCGCGGTGGGGAGTCCCGGCGAGGATTTTGCAGGGTGGGTGGCTCCTAGAAACCTATGCCCAGAGGCCTCAGGGGGGCTGGGAATGTCAGACGCGGTGGGGGCGAGGTGGGGGTTCCCGGCGAGGATTTTGCAGGGTGGGTGGCTCCTAGAAACCTACGCCCAGAGGCTTCAGGGGGGCTGGGAATGTCAGACGCGGTGGGGGCGCGGTGGGGGATACCGACGAGAATTTTGCAGGTGGGTGGCTCCTGAAACCTATGCCCAGAGACATCAGGGGGGCTGGGAATGTCAGTCGCGATGGGGCGCGGTGGGGGGTCCCGGCGAGGATTTTGCAGGGTGGGTGACTCCTAGAACCTATGCCCAGAGGCTTCAGGGGGGCTGGGAATGTCAGACGCGGTGGGGGCGCGGTGGGGGGCCCCGGCGAGGATTTTGCAGGGTGAGTGGCTCCTGGAAACCTATGCCCAGAGGCTTCAGGGGGGCTGGGAATGTCAGACGCGGTGGGAGCGCGGTGGGAGGTCCCGCAAGGATTTTGCAGGGTGGGTGGCTCCTAGAAACCTATGACCAGAGGCCTCAAGGGGGCTGGGAATGTCAGACGCGGTGGGGGCGCGGTGGTGGGTCCTGGCGAGGATTTTGCAGGGTGGGTGGCTCCTAGAAACCTATGCCCAGAGGCCTCAGGGGGGCTGGGAATGTGAGACGCGGTGTCCCGGCGAGGATTTTGCAGGGTGGGTGGCTCCTAGAAACCTATGCTCAGAGGCTTCAGGGGGGCTGGGAATGTCAGACGCGGTGGGGGCGCGGTGGGGGGTCCCGGCGAGGATTTTGCAGGGTGGGTGGCTCCTAGAAACCTATGCCCAGAGGCCTCAGGGGGCTGGGAATGTCAGACGCGGTGGGGGCGCGGTGGGGCGTCCCGGCGAGGATTTGGCAGGGTGGGTGATAGCTGTGCCCAGATGCCTCAGGGGGGCTGGGTCAGACGCGGCGGGGGCGCGGTGGGGGGTCCCGGCGAGGATTTTGCAGGGTGGGTGGCTCCTAGAAACCTATGCCCAGATGCTTCGGAGGGGCTGGGAATGTCAGACGCGGTGGGAGCGCAGTGGGGGGTCCCGGCGAGGATTTTGCAGGGCGGGTGGCTCCTAGAAACCTATGGACAGAGGCGTCAGGGAGCTGAGAATGTCAGACGCGGCGGGGGCGCGGTGGGGGGTCCCGGCGAGGATTTTGCAGGGTGGGTGGCTCCTAAAAACCGATGCCCAGAGACTTCAGGGGAGCTGGGAATGTCAGACGCGGTGGGTGGTCCCGGCGAGGATTTTGCAGGGTGGGTGGCTCCTAGAAACCTATGCCCAAGGCCTCAGGGGGGCTGGGAATGTCAGACGCGGTGTCCCGGCGAGGATTTTGCAGGGTGGGTGGCTCCTAGAAACCTATGCCCAGAGGCTTCAGGGGGGCTGGGAATGTCAGACGCGGTGGGGGCGCGGTGAGAGGTCCCGGCGAGGATTTTGCAGGGTGGGTGGCTCCTAGAAACGTATGCCCAGAGGCCTCAGGGGGGCTGGGAATGTCAGACGCGGTGGGGGCGCGGTAGGGGGTTCCGGCGAGGATTTTGCAGGGTGGTGAAAGCTATGCCCAGAGGCCTCAGGGGGGCTGGGGTGTCAGACGCGGTGGGGGCGCGGGGGGGGTCCCGGCGAGGATTTTGCAGGGTGGGTGGCTCCTAGAAACCTATGCCAGAACGTCAGGGAGGGCTGGAAATGTCAGACGCGGTGGGCGCGTGGGGCTCCCAGCGAGGATTTTGCATGGTGGAGAAACCATGCCCAGAGGCTTCAGGGGGGCTGGGAATGTCAGACGCGGTGGGGGCGCGGTGGGGGGTCCCGGCGAGGATTTTGCAGTGTAGGTGGCTCCTAGAAACCTATAGCCAGAGGCCTCAGGGGGGCTGGGAATGTCAGACGCGGTGGGGGCGCGGTGGGGGGTCCCGGCGAGGATTTTGCAGGGTGGGTGGCTCCTAGAAACCTATGCCCAGAAGCCTCAGGGGGGCTGGGGATGTCAGACGCGGTGATGGCGCGGTGCGGGGTACCGACGAGGATTTTGCAGGTTGGGTGGCTCCTGAAACCTATGCCCAGGGACTTCAGGGGGGCTGGGAATGTCAGTCGCGGTGGCGGCGCGGTGGGAGGTCCCGGCGAGGATTTTGCAGGGTGGGTGGCTCCTAGAAACCTATGCCCAGAGGCTTCAGAAGGCTGGGAATGTCAGACGCGGTGGGGGGTCCCGGCGAGGATTTTGCAGGGTGGGTGGCTCCTAGAAACCTATGCCCAGAGGCCTCAGGGAGCTGGGAATGTCAGGCGCGGTGGGGGGTCTCGGCGAGGATTTTGCAGGGTGGGTGGCTCCTAAAAACCTACGCCCAGAGGCCTCAGGGGGGCTGGGAATGTCAGACGCGGTGGGGGCGCGGTGGGGGTCCCGGCGAGGATTTTGCAGGGTGGGTGGCTCTTAGAAACCTATGACCAAAGGTCTCAGGGGGGGTGGGAATGTCAGACGCGGTGTCCCGGCGAAGATTTTGCAGGGTGAGTGGCTCCTAGAAACCTATGCCCAGAGGCTTCAGGGGGGCTGGGAATGTCAGACGCGGTGGGGGCGCGGTGGGGGGTCCCGGCGAGGATTTTGCAGGGTGGGTGGTTCCTAGAAACCTATGCCCAGAGTCCTCAGGGGGGCTGGGAATGTCAGACGCGGTGGGGGCGCGGTGGGGCGTCCCGGCGAGGATTTGGCAGGGTGGGTGATAGCTGTGCCAGATGCCTCAGGGTGGGCTGGGTCCAGACGCGGGCGGGGGTCGCGTGGGGGGTCCCGGGGACCCGGGCGAGGATTTGCAGGGGGTGGCTCCTAGGAAACCTATGCCCAGATGCTTCGGAGGGGCTGGGAATGTCAGACGCGGTGGGAGCGCAGTGGGGGGTCCCGGCGAGGATTTTGCAGGGCGGGTGGCTCCTAGAAACCTATGGACAGAGGCGTCAGGGAGCTGAGAATGTCAGACGCGGCGGGGGCGCGGTGGGGGGTCCCGGCGAGGATTTTGCAGGGTGGGTGGCTCCTAAAAACCGATGCCCAGAGACTCAGGGGAGCTGGGAATGTCAAACGCGGTGGGGGGTCCCGGCGAGGATTTTGCAGGGTGGGTGGCTCCTAGAAACCTATGCCCAGAGGCCTCAG